TTTGAAACAATTTAACACAAGTATTTCAAATTAACAAGTTGTTTATTTAACGAGTTGGATTATTATAATATTTATTAACCTCGTTAATTTATTTCATTTTTAATAAGTATTATTGTCAAAATAATAATTAATAAACTCGTTAATTATAATGTAATTATAAAAAACAGCTCGTTAATTATTTATACCAATTACAATGAAAGAAATGTGGAGAGTGTGAAAAGAAGTGGCTTTGTGTGAAGAAATGAATAACTTTCACATTTTCAAGGCAAATAAACAAGTCGTATTTAAGACCGACCAAATCTGAATAAAAAACACACAATGGCCTTCGTTCTCCCTCCACTCCCTTATGAAAAAACTGCTTTGGTTCCACACATCAGTGCTGAGACTTTGGAGTTCCACCACGACAAACACCACGCGACTTATGTCACAAAGTTGAATGGGTTGGTCGCCAACACAGACAACGCCAAGAAGACACTTGAAGAGCTTATTAAAACAAAACCAACACAAGCTATTTACAACAATGCCGCTCAAGCATGGAACCACGCTTTCTACTGGAACTGCATGTGTGGCTGTGGCGTGAAGCCATCTGCTGAACTCGAAAGCAAATTGGCTGCCGCGTTCGGAAGTTTCGAAGACTTCAAGAAGAAGTTCACCGAGAAAGCCGTCGGACACTTTGGAAGTGGGTGGTGCTGGTTGGTCGAGCACAACGGAAAGCTCGAGATCATCGACACACACGACGCTGTTAACCCAATGGCAGAGGGTATGAAACCAATCCTCACCTGTGATGTCTGGGAACACGCCTACTACATCGACACTAGAAACAACAGAGCTGCTTATCTTGAACACTGGTGGAACGTCGTCAACTGGAAGTTCGTCGAACAAAACCTCGCTTAAGTTACTCATATCACAACTTTTTGTTTGTTTATCTATAATTACTATAATTATCATTATATTAATTATAATTCAATAAATATATTAATAATAATATATTTTATTATTTTAATTAAAACTACTAAAATTATTATTTTTAAACTATATAAATACCATTTAAACATTAGTTAAATATATACTATAATTAATGGTAAATCATATTATAAAAGACATAAAAACAGACAGACATGAATAATTCAATAAGAAAAGATTGACAAATAAACATTTTGTGTATTAAATTTCAACAATAAATTGAAAAAAAACACAAAAGCGATGAATAATATTAATTGTTTGACTTGATGTTGTTTACTAAAGTATTTAAGACATAAATAATGAATGTATTATTTGTTAATGTTGTCTACTTTTAAATATTATTTATAGATTTATTTATTTAAAAAAATATGTTTATTTCATAAAAATGATTTCAACACTTCAAAAGCAATGTTTAACTTTTATACAACTTTTAACATTTTTACTCAATTTCCATTTTTAAAAATAATCTTGGTATTTTGTTTGTCAAACAGACTTTAGTTTAAAAAATTTGAAACTAAAATTATTTTAAAATTAAAAAAAGATCAACCATTATAATTATAATTACTTTGTAAATTTAAAAAGAATTGTTAGATTTGAATCGATAAAAATATGGGAAATTTTATTCAAAATTCAAACAACTTGCTTTTTATTTCATTGTGTTTGTTTTTATTGTTTATTATAAATATAAATAATTATACTTTGTAATTTAATTAAACAAATTTGTCATTATGTTTTTTTTATATACGAGTATGTATTTACTAATAATGATTTTAATAAATTTTATTAGAAAGTATATAAAAATATGTAAAGTTTGTTTTTAATAATATAACATAAAAAACAAAAATATACTTATTTTTTTCAATCATTTCAAACCATTTACATATTGTATTACTATAAAAAACAATTTAATTGTGTTATTTTGATGTAAGATAAAAAGTCTTGATTTTTATTTCGTGTGTTATTGCAATCAAATGGCTTGCTTTGCAAAACACAAACTTGTTGAAATTAGTTTGATTTAAATACAATAAGCGCCTGGGTGTGCCATCAAGACTTTGAAAGTCTTCCCTCTATGTTGTTCTAAAATTATTGAAAAAAAACGATACTAAACAACTCAGTTATGACTTACCAATATCAACAAATCAATTTAAATTAAAAGCGGTATAATTAAGTTGAAATGGATGATTTAATCAAAATGAATACATACAACTAATGAAATTTACACAAATTACAAAACATGTATAACAACAAACATAATAAGTAATGTAAAACTCGATTGTTATCATTTAAAAACAAATTAAATATACAAAAAGATTGATGATTAAATGGGAAAAAGAAAAAAAACAAAAAAAGTCACAGAGGTATGATTGATAGGTTACATTGTTATATTTTATTTTATTACTAAAATAATAATAATAATAAAATGCTAAATGAATATATTTATTTTTGACATAACATAATAGAGTATGAACATTTTAAATTGATGATATAAACTATTTGATTTCTCACCTGTATTCAATTGATCAATTGCTAGTCATTAACGGCAATTACAAGCTTTTGTTGTGTCTCAATATACTTTTTCTACTTGCGAAGACTTCAGTGGGAAATCTTGTTTTGTTGATTAAATTATTTCACTCCATGATGCCTTATTCCAACACCACATTGTGTTGTTTACCAATTTATCCCAACCTTCTTAATAAATATAACTATTGTTGTTTTTTCAATAAAAATAAATCATTAAATAAAGTTAATAATAATATTAATATTTTATTGTTTTATAGTCACCCGCTAAAAGGTGTAAATTTACGACAAATGGTCTAAAGAAACCATTTTATAGTTTTTAGAAATTATGATTTTAGATTATGTTTCAATTTGTCATTTTTTTCTTTATATTGAAAGTATTTCAAAATTAACTATAAATTTACTTTATTCTAAAACATTGTCAAAATAGATTAAAGGTGAACTGAAAATCAATTATTAATGGAAAAATGCAGTACAAATACACTTACCTGGACAATACCAGAAAACAAAAAGACCAAACCTGCACCTGCGATGGCTTTCGACGATTCGGCAAATTCTTTGGATGTATCAGATTCATTGTGTTATTTGTTTGTGCTGTTTCTGTTAAAACAAAAAGAATTTTGCTACAGTCAATATAAACGGTTACAAATTTATATTGCTTATAAAAATATTAAGGTGTTCAATAAAAATATGGAAAGTTTGGAATCCGCAAAAGTGTTTATAAGTGTTATCAACCCATACTACAATATCAATGTTTTGGATGGTTTTCTGAGACTGAAAATAATTCAAAAAGATCTGGCAAAAATTTTCAAAGTGAATGATCC